TTTATTTTAATACATTTTAAATGTAGTTTATTCCTGTGATGGCAAAGCTGAATCTTATATAAAAATCTTTTTATTACCAAATGTTGAAAACAGTTGTGCTGTTTAATATTTTTGTGAAAACTGTGATACAATGTTCAGGATTCTTTGATAAATAGAAATGTCAAAAGAACAGCATTTATTTGAAATATAATTTTTTTTGTAACATTCTAAATGTCTTTACTCTCACTTTTGCTCAGTTTAATGGATCATTGCTTAATAAAAGTATTAATTTCCTTCAAACAAAAAAAAATCTTACTGACCCCAAACCTGGGAACATTATATATATATATATATATAATATTCTGAATTAATGAATGGTACCATGGCTCATTGATTTCTGTTTGTGTCTAAAACTAGCTGTTGGATGCAGGACTCAGGGAGCTAAAGGAAGAGACCGGTCTGAAACTGAGCCCTGATGAGATCTCCTCTCAGCTTCTCGGCCTGTGGGAGGTGTGTGTTTATAGCACAGTGTTTTTGTAAGACCTGCAGCCAAAGTCCAGGGGGCCACTGCACGCTGAATTTGACAGACTGAGGTTTGGGTCCATGACATAACAAGTCAAGTACAAGTCTTTTGAAAACACACACCAAATGAAGGTGAGGAGCAGACTGAATCATTAAACATGCTGGTTTACTAATAATCTTCATCTCTGCCATAACTCTCAAATGTCATCAGTTGCGATTGCATATAATCAAACTTTTTGGCAGTAAAAATGACCATTCACTTTCATTGTATTGAAAAGAGCAGTTTGGACATTTTTCCTAACATCTCATTTTGTGTTTTATGGAATAAAGACAATAATACAAAGTTGGAATCAGTGTTGGGGGTAATATATTACAAGTAACGCAAGTTACGTAATCAGATTACTTTTTTCAAGTAACTAGTAAAGTAACGCATTACTTTTTAATTTACAAGAGAATATCTTAGTTACTTTTTCAAATAAGTAACGCAAGTTACTTTTTTTTTTGCTGAAGTGTGTTGAAATTTCTTCTTCTGCATTCTACTGTACGGACGTAAATTTACTTTCCCTTCAGCCTGAGGCTTATTCATTTCACTTTTGGTGTGAAAAGGCTTTTATATTTGCCAAAATATTACTTTTTTATTTTAAAAACAAACAAGCAAGCCCTGTCCAGATTTAAAAAGTAGCGCAAAAGTAACGTAACGCATTACTTTCCATAAAAAAAGTAACTAAGTAACGTAATTAGTTACTTTTTTTATGGAGTAATGCAATATTGTAATGCATTACTTTTAAAAGTAACTTTCCCCAACACTGGTTGGAATGCTGTGACTTGAGGATAAAGTTTGGGGTCAGTAAGATTTTTTTTAATGTTTTAGAGAAAAAGTCAAAAAAAAAAAAGAAAAAGTGCTCAACAAGGCTGCATTTATTTGATCACAAATACAGTAAAAACAGTTATGATTTAAAATAACTGTTTTCTATTGTAGTATTTTTTTTAAATGTAATTTATTCCTGTGACGGCAAGCTGAATTTTCAGCAATTTGCCCATTCTAATTTATTGAGATGCACCTGTATCTTTTGTAACATTATAAATGTCTTTACTCTCACTTTCGATCAATTTAATGTATCCTTGCTGAATAAAAGTATTAATTAAAAAAATAAATAAAAGAAAAATGTTTGAACTTTTTGAACGGTAGTGCATTTCATTTTATGTATTCTACTTGTGTTCTCTGTCCAGTCAGTGTATCCGCCCATGTTGTCCAGAGGACTGCCTAAGAGACATCACATTGTGATGTCTACTCAATCACACCTGCAGCTTCAAGTACAACTTTAGGTCATCCACACCTACTGTAAAAACTACAAATAAATGTTGCTGATTTTAAGTCCATGTGCTTCATAAGATCTCTGTCTTCTTTTCTCAGACTTGTTTGTACCCTGATCCTGCTGAAGACAGTGCGTGTGTGTGGGTCGATGCCTGGTGAAAGTTGTAGTATCTGCTGTAGACGGTGAGAAGAATTCTGCTGACCTGCCACAGACCATCAGGTATGGAGAACATCATTAATCTCTATTAAAGGAATAGTTCACCCACAAATTAAAATTTTATGAAAATTGACTCACTCTCAGGCCATCCAATATATAGATGATTTAGTTTCTTCATCAGAACAGATTTGGAGAAATTTAGCATAACATCACTTGCTCACCAATGGATCCTCTGCAGTGAATGGGTGCCGTCAGAATGAGAGGCCAAACAGCTGATAAAAACATCACAATAATCCACATGACTCCAGTCCATCAATTAACGTCTTGTGAAGCGAAACACTGTGTTTGTGAGAAACAAATCAATCATTAAGACATTTTAACTTCAAACCTTCAATTCTGGACAAAAGTCCATAATCCAAAATAACGCTTCCTCCAGTGAAAAAGTCCATCCTCTGTTGTCCTCTCACATCAAAACCCATCAACATATTTGTTTCTGAACATTTGTGGACTGTTTTCACTTGTAAACAGTGCTTGAGCCGTGCATATTTCTCTCCTGATTCTGACAAGACAACTTTTTCACTGGAGAAAGCAATATTACTGATATATACTACAGTTAGCTTTAGTTAGTTAGTTAGTTTTAGCTGGAAGCAACGGTTTGAAGTTAAAAATGTCTAGATTACTGGAGCCATGAGGATTATTGTGATGTTTTTATCAGCTGTTTGGATTCTCATTCTGACGGCACCCATTCACTGCAGAGGATCCATTGGTGAGCAAGTGATGCAATGCTACATTTCTCAAAATCTGTTCTGGTGAAGAAACAAACTCTTCTACATCGCCTACATGGCCTGAGGGTAAGTAAATTTTCCATTGTGATGTTTTTATCAGCTGTTTGGATTCTCATTCTGACGGCACCCATTCACTGCAGAGGATCCATTGGTGAGCAAGTGATGCAATGCTACAGATTTTCTCAAAATCTGTTCTGGTGAAGAAACAAACTCTTCTACATCGCCTACATGGCCTGAGGGTAAGTAAATTTTCTTTTTTTGGGTGAACTATTCCTTTAAGTATTAAATCTATTGTTCTGAGTGTCTGTTTTCTGCATGTTGTCAGTGTGACGGAAGTGTCTCCACACGGTGAGCTGATCGAGACTTTGCTGCCTGTTTCTGTGTTCTGTAACCGGGCCCCAGATCCCGGCGAGGACATTGAACGAATCAGCACTGGAACCAAATTTGCCTTAGAACTGTGGTTGAAAACACTGGAGCCTCATGCTGACATGGGCTGACGACTCCTCTCTGCCTGCTTCTGTTTATGTACGTTACCATTTAACCAGTGCCTTGAGGAAGACAGCACCACCTGCTGGACTGGAGCTATTTCAGCCCAGCATTTTATTCGGGCACAACATTCAAATCAAAATGTTGTCAAAACAGCCTTAGAATAAGAGTTTGGATCAGAATATGGTCTTATTATTATCAGAATGTTTATTTAACCCTTGCCAATGTTCAACATTTTAAACATTATTATTAATTACAACCGAAACAACGTCTCGGCCCACTATAAGTGGGTGGTAAAAACTTTCTTCTGGTAAAGCTGGCAAATTAAAGTTAATTTAATACGGTGATTATCCTTTATAATTTTACCTTTTTCTTCCACACACAACTACAAATGCTTTGTTTTAAAGGTAAACCAATTTTTTTTTGTTCACATGACCAGCAGAACATTCACTGTTTCAGTAACCACCCAGTGATCAGACACTTCCATATGCAGAGTAAATTGATCATGTCAAATACACCTATTAATTGGATATTTCTTGAACAGCTTGTGTGTGTGAATCAGGGTCAGTTTAAACAGCAGAGACAAAAATATGGGAAAAATGACATTTCATCACAGATTACATTTGACCGCTGAGATAATCTGCAGAATTTCACTTGCCTCACCTTTCCTCTGACACATTTATGTTCTTGTTGTTCAAATACTCAGTATCTTGATTTCTCAATCAAGTTAATGCCTGGCACATTTTTACCCTCTTTGCTTTTAAAAAGAATTTGACCTAAAGTGACACAGAGCCGTCTAGTTCTGTTATGTTTACACAAACTAGCTAAAACTCCTGCTTTTGATCTGTGGTACAACCAGGCTGTGTCACCAAAAATTTTAGGATCTTTTCCCAATGAAACAGTATTTTCCATTAAAATTAAAATAATAATAAATAAAATAAAAACTAGTCACCCCACTGCCATTTTGAGAAGCTCTTTTTAATTTCACTAAATCACTGTTAATACAGCACATGACTGTCATCATTCAATCAATTTTTACAAGTTACAAATTACTTTGTGCAAAGGTATATAGTAGGAAAATAAATTCTAAATCGATCGTAATGGCATGTAAAACCATTTCCCTGTCCGTTTAGCATCCTGCTGTGCAGTGCCGGATGTATGACAGTTATTCATCCAACATAAGGGTTTCTGCAGGCCTCGTTCTTCTTAAGCAGAGGAAAGGACAATGTTGGGGGTCAGAAAACCTGAATGATGGAGTTAAAGTGAGTTTGAGCTCTGCTGTTTTTTTTTTTACAGAAGTGTGTCATGCTCACTACTGCATATGTGTGTTTTACTATACCTGTGTCCTTCATTTGTTCACCACGTACATACCTGTCCGGTTTTTCGGAGGTTTTTCTCTGACATCCTGTTAAAACAAGAGTCAGTTAACATTAGATGACAATGAAGGGCTTGTATAGTCTATAACGTCCATCAGCATTAGAAACAACTTTTTATGTCAAAAGTAATTATGTTAAGTACTCTTTTTTTTTCTTATTATAATATATTCTATATTTATATTCATATAATTTATATTATATATAAATATATTTAATATATGAAAATACAATTTGTCTGCCTGTGTAATGCCTGTGTATTTATATATATACATAATAAATATACACAGTACACATACATATATTATGTAATCAAAAACTTTTATTTCAGAAGTGTGTCATGCTCACTACTGCATATGTGTGTTTTACTATACCTGTGTCCTTCATTTGTTCACCACGTACATACCTGTCCGGTTTTTCGGAGGTTTTTCTCTGACATCCTGTTAAAACAAGAGTCAGTTAACATTAGATGACAATGAAGGGCTTGTATAGTCTATAACGTCCATCAGCATTAGAAACAACTTTTTATGTCAAAAGTAATTATGTTAAGTACTCTTTTTTTTTCTTATTATAATATATATATATATAATTATTACTATTATTTCTTATTATTTATTTATATTATTGGTTTTGTTTATCTGATCTTGTTTATTTTGATAATTTTATTTCTATTTAGATGTTATATATATTTTATATTCTTTTATGTATTTACTTTATATTTTTGTATATTTTTCGTTTTCTTCTTATTTACTTTTTTCATTAATATAGTCTTTTTTATTTACCTAATTTTATTTTCGTACTGTAAAATGTTTTTATTTTTTATTATTTCAGTTTTATTTATTTTATATATATATGCGATTAATCGTTTGACAGCACTAATATATATATATATATATAGTGAATAGTTTCGCCTCTGTTTCTTCCATTGAGCTGTTTCAGGTGATTTAGATAATTTTGTTTATATCATCACTGTGAATCATCCAACTTGTTATTAATATAAATGCCAGCACCCTAACAAACACCCCCGTTCAGCTCTGTTCAGTTAATCACTCTCTGCTGCTCTGATCAGCTGTCCACCAAAACCTGCTGCTCGGATGCATTCATCCCTGGAGGCCTCAATGAGGGTTGGATTCAGAGTTTAAGTCTTTCTCTCCTGGCTCCCATTATTGTTCAAATGTAGGCAGGGCATTGTGAGCGGTGACGCCGGGGCTACTGGACGATGGAGGAGACGCGGATGGAGGCCTCACAGTCTCTGGACGAGAGTCGAGTTTCCCACGCTTCAGGTTTCTTAGTCAGAGCCGCACAAAGAGGGGCCTGTGCAGGCGACGGCGACGCTGGAACGCCAGGTAACAGTAGCCAATTTTCCCTAGTTCTGATCTGTGATTGTGGGGTCAGTGTTTTACATGGACAGAGATGGTGATGGAGAACCCTTCTGAAAACCCCTCTGTTTCCCTCCACAATAAAGCTGCAATTCTATTTAAGTTGCAAAACAAGATTTATGTTTATATATAGTCTTTGACTTGTTATATTGTTAGACGTATTTTGTGAAATGGTTCAAATGCATGCTTTTCAACAAGTTTTGCCATTAAATTACAGGTTTCTTGATGCTTTCTTATCATAAGGCTGCATTCACACAGTCAGTGTTTTCACTACCTGCCTTTACTAACAGGTGTGACTCTCAAATTGTCCCGTTCATACAGCAGCAGGCAAGAGCAGATCCATTATCTCTGTACGAGCAGGTAACCGTAGCTAATCCCTTCTTTAACTTGAGAGTAAATCCTGTAACTGATAACTATTGTAAATATCAATGTGTCTTTAAGGTATTTAATACTTAACAACTTACTCCTGCTACTTTCATACTGCATCATAAAATGCAGTGGTTTCATTTTTGTCTATTATTTATGTACTATTACAAAGTACAAAAGCTATCACTGGGGCAGTACCTTTTTAAAATGTACACTTTTGTACTTCTTTTTACCCCTAAAGAGTGTGTATTAGTACCTAAATGGTACATATGAGTACCTTTTGAAAGGGTATTGCCCCAGTGACAGAGAATGTAGAATTTTATTTAATATTTTGTTTTATATTATCATAATTTTTTTAGATTTTTATGTTTTCATTTTAAATGTAGTAATTTTATTATGAACTTTTGTTAATTTTATTAGTGTTTTTTTTAATATTTCTATTTAGCTTTAATTTTTATATATACGTTTTTAATAGTAATTTATAGTTTTAATCATTTTAATACTTTAAGTTTAAAGTAATTCTTTAATCATTTTAAATTAGTTATTTTTTAAGTTATGTAATATTTTCAAGCAATCTAATATTTATATTTTATGTCAACTTTATTTTAATTAACAATTTTAAATAAATGTAGTTAATAATAACAACACTTTCTTGAGCACACAATTTTGTCAGCCCTACACAAATGATTGACAAGCAACAGCAAATAATAAGTTAATTCTTGCAGTTCTTACAGTATAGCACATTCGCTTTTAAAATTCAGTTATAAGTCTTGAAAATTTAAGGGAGTCGCTTTTGTTATAGAATCTAGTTTCACTCTTTTTCATGACCAAAAATTATAGGAACACAATACAAGCTAAGCTGCGTCAGAATGAGTTATGAAAAGTATCGCACCGCTTGTTTGCCGTTGGATGTATCAAATGTGCTTTGCGTTGAATACATAGGGATGTCTGGATTGAAGTACATGGGAGGATTCATCTCTTCAGCTTCATTCACGAAAACTCTTCGTTTCGGACAACAGCACCAGAGCACCACCTGAGAGGAGGAACACCGTTGTCCTTTAACAGTAAACTGTTAACGCTGACAAAAACACCCCTAAAATGTACCACCTTGGCTATTCTTTTAAGTATTTCACCACAAACATCTTGCTTTATATATAAAAATGGTAATCATTTAGTAGCATGGTATATAGCCTATCAAAGGTTACGTTATATATATATATATATATATATGATGCCAATGTACCGCTGAATAGAAGTACAGAAGTTGGTCAGTTTTATTATTTATTCAGATGAATATACAATCAAATATGCGACATATCACAAATGGGTTTGTTTTATTTTAAAGTTGGTAATATTTTCTTCTATAAAACCAAAGGTTTATATTACATTGATCCTAAACCCTCGATCACTCACCAGAATGATGAGGATGAGGAGGAGGAAGAGGCTGACAGCTGCCAGTGCTAACAGGGCAACCGCCCATCCAGGCACCAAAACAGTGACCGTAGTAGGTGAATGGTTCATGACTGTGGTCTTCGAGGGCTGAGCTGTTGAAAACATGGTGGAGCTGATTGTCGGTTTCCCAACAGTGCTGTGAATGGAGGTAAATGTGCTTTGGGGGGCTGCAGTGGTGGTGTTATTGGGGGCTGTAGTCGTGGAGCCATTTGGGGTTGCAATGATGGTGGCATTTGGCAATGTAGTGATGGTGTCAATGGTGGTGGTGCTATTGGAAGCTGTAGTGATGGTACCAATGGGTGCTGCTGTGGAGGTCCTATTGGGGACTTCTGGTGTGGTCCCATTGGTTACTGCATTGGTGGTGCTGCTGGGTGCTGTAGAAATACTTGTATTATCCATCAGTGAGTTGGTTGTGGTGGTGTTAAAGGGTATGGAGGTGGTGGAGTGGATTGGGTTTGTGATGTTTCCTACAACAGCACTGGAGCCCAACGGGAGGGAGGTGGACATGTTGGGTGAGTGTGTGGATGGAAGGCGACTGGTGAAGGATTCAGCATCGGTTATGATGTCAGGAGTGGAAGTGAGGGGCGTGGTCATGGAGGACATGGTCATAAAAGGTGTTTCTTTGTGTGTTGTCATTGGTGGTCTGCTGAAGTTCTTCTCTTCCTCAAGAGGTTCTTCACTTGGTAGTTCATCTGTTGGTGGGATTGAATGTACTATTTGTTAGTTGATAATAATATTTTTTTTTATTTCTGCCACAGAATTTAAAATAATTGCAACTTTTTATCTTACAATTCTGACTTTTTTTTTTGTTTGTTTATTTTTCATAATTTTGACTTTCGTTTCAGGTATCTTTGTAGGTATTTGGTAGAATTGTGAGATGTCTCAATTCTGAGAAAAAAGATATAAATTCAGAATTCTGACTTTTTTCACAATTCTGAGTTTACATCTTGCAGTTCAGATTTTTTTTCTCAGAATTCTGCATGTGTATGCAGGTCACATTGGGTGTCTAAAAAATGTAAAATAATAATAATAAAGAATTGCGAGATGTAAACTCAGAATTCTGAGGGAAAAAAGTATATAACTAAAAAAAAAAGAAATAAAGAAAACAAAGTTGCAATTATAAGAGAATTATCAGAATTGTTAGATAAAAAAAATCACAATTACCTTTCTTATGTTTTTATTCATTGGTGGAAATAAGTTTCCATACATTTAGATGGTCAGTATAATGTCAAATCCTCCATGTCAAACCCCCATTAATGAACAATGTGAAAACAATGTAAAATCAACCACTTTTGACTGTTATTTTACTTTCAATGTAGCTGAGGTCGATCTCTAGTGCCGGCGATGGAATTTGTTTGTACGCAGGCAAAAAGATTCCTCTCACAAGCTCTGGATTGACTTGAGTCGGCCCAAACAGCAGACGAGAAGTGGCGATCACAGACCCATTACTGCAAGAGAAACATTATAAGATCAGACAGTCTCTGCCACTCAGTTATATTGGATGTAAATCTAAGATTATGAGATAATCAAACCTGAAAATCATCTCATCTCTGAGGAAAAAGTCTATAGCTAAAAAAACTAAAACATAAACTTGCAATTGTGAGATAAAAAGTCAATGTTGGTCAATACTTAATTGTCAAATCCTCCATGTCAAACCCCCATTAATGAACAATGTGAAAACAATGTAAAATCAACCACTTTTGACTGTTATTTTACTTTCAATGTAGCTGAGGTCGATCTCTAGTGCCGGCGATGGAATTTGTTTGTACGCAGGCAAAAAGATTCCTCTCACAAGCTCTGGATTGACTTGAGTCGGCCCAAACAGCAGACGAGAAGTGGCGATCACAGACCCATTACTGCAAGAGAACATTATAAGATCAGACAGTCTCTGCCACTCAGTTATATTGGATGTAAATCTAAGATTATGAGTTAATCAAACCTGAAAATCATCTCATCTGCCCCCAAATATATCAGATGAGTGATGTCATAAGATCGTTCATAAATATCTGCAAACTGAAAAAAGAAAAGTACAACGGGGGGGAAATCAATATTCCTCAACGTAAGACCAATTTACTCATCTTAACTAATAGCAGAAACCTTTAAATGCTTGGTAATTATGATTTTTTTTTTTTTTTGATAATCACTCTCTAAAAAGTAGCATAATGTCACTATGTTTTTGGTACCATAGTAATGTAGCCTACTAAGGTTTCCATTACATTAATGCTTTTGGCAAATTATTTTATCCAAAACAACTTACTGTTCATTGCACTCAAAATATACATTTAATCAGTTCATTTTATCACTTTGATAATACTGGTATTCTATAAAGAACCTATAGCTTATTTTGTTCATAGTACCATGAAAACACCATGGTTTCTTAGGCGAACGGCATACATTGTAATATCTTTTAAATATAGCAAATTAATCTGGTAATAATACTGTAGGAGTCCCATGTTATGATGGTATTACCAAGGTACTTTGATATAATCCAAGCTATTTACATTTGAATGATAAATGGTACTTTTCTGTAAGTGCAACCATTCAGTAACATATATCAAAGTACTGTGGTATTTTTATCTGAAACCATCACTGTACCTGGGATATTTTCCGAAGGAGTTCTAGATGACCACTAGTCCTTGACCTGATCATTCAAATGATTCACTTTCATCTCTAGTATACTGCATGTCTGCTGGGGGATGTAATATATCCTAGAATACTGTAAATATCCAATAAGTGCTTTACATATTCAAGCATGAATAACAAGAGACCCTCACCAGTTGCTCCACCTCTTGCTTGAGTGTTGTATACTCTGCTGATTGCTGATCAGCCAGTGAGTCATTATAAACACGGTTAGTGATTCTGAGATCCATGATAACTAATGTCAAAGAGTGTGGAGTCAAGGCATCTGTGCTTTCAGTTGGGGAATCCACCGCAGACATATTGACAGAGTTTACACCTAAATCAGATTTTGATATAATTATCATGAAAAGTTTTTTGTGACATATTTAAAATGTAAATTTTAAAGTTTTTATTACATCCAAAAATGAAAATGTTGTCACCCTCAGGATAAAAGAAGATATTCAGAGGAATATGTTTTTGTCCATACAGTGAAAGTCACTGGTGTCCAAAACTTGAACAAAAAATTGTTTTCCAAAATATTTTCTTTTTGTGCTTAATAGGGTGAGTAAATGATGACAGAACTTTCATTTTTGTATCAAATATCCTTTAAAACCGTTTCAATGAGAAAAATTAATTGTCAGTTGTTCATATTTCACATCAATTTTTCATATATAAATTTTTCATAAATCACATTTTTAAAACATAGTTGCAACTCACCCGTGAAAAGTGCAATCCAACCAACAACTAAGGTGGTGGAGGCTCTTGGTATAATCTTCATCATCTCTGAAGACGAGTAATCCTTCAGTGTCTGATCTCTGCCAGCACGTTGAGTCAACATCAACTAATGTTCTGGACTCTGGAGAAAGTGGCTCTTTATCAGAGTGAACAGTCTTTTTATTGTTTGAGCACCTGAGCAGGTACTGCACACAGGTGGGTGGAGCTCCTGCACCTCATTGTCTCCGAGGAGTGAAAAAAGATGGTGCCTTTTCTAAAACCTCCATTAAAGAAAAACCACAAATCAGATCTCAGTCATTTCTCTTTGACAGCTATTAGATTGACTGAGACTTTTGTTCATCTCTCCTGCTTTTCGGATTTTTCTCCTGAGACAAGAACCCAAGTGATCCCACATCAGTAAAGTTTGCAACTTTGAGCTGAATCATTTCTGTAAGTATGATTAGTTTCTGCATAGTATATACATCTGATTTGCATTTGAATAGAGAGTTGAAATTATGGGAGGATCACAAGGGCCCAAGCTACCATTTTTTTTAATAATGGCAAATTATGTTCACTCATTGTTTTTTATTTATTTATTTTAAAAT